AGAGCCTGGGGGTGCGCAGGGAGAGCGGGGCCTCCCGCGCGTCCCCTTTGTGTGGAGTACGGCTGCGTGCAGGGGCGGGCGTGGCAGGAGGGACTGGGCGTGCATTTCCGCGCTGCCTCGGCCGCCGGCGGGAGCACGGTAGCGGCGGGGCGGCTCGGCTCGGCTCGGCTCGGCGGAGAGGCACCCCGGCGCCGCTGGCCGGCCGCGCTGACGCGGGGAAGGTCCGGGAGCGCCGCCGCGCCGTGTCCATGGACTAGCCGAGGCGGCGGAGGGACCCCCGACTACGCCGACCGCCGCCTCGCCCTCCGCCCAACTTGGGGAAACTTGGCGAGCAGGCTGCTGCCCCCGGTGAGTCCCTGCCCGCCCCGCCGCCGGCCCGGGCATCCCCTCAGCCGTCTGCCCCCGGGGTCGCGCCGCGTCCCCGCCGTACGGAATGCCCCTTCCTCCCCATGTCTTTGATCCCCCCCCCCCCCCCGGCGCACGGCTCTTCCCCCGCAACATCTCCCGGGAGCTGGCAGCCATTGAACGGAGCGGGGAGCAAGCGCTGCCCGGCTGCCCTCCCTCGGGGCGGGCAGCAGCCCTCAGAGTTCGTGAGTTTCCCGAAAACGCGGGGCTGTGGCGAGCCTCTGCCATTGTCCTTGTCCATTAAAGGAAGCCGGAGAGGCCGGGCGAGGCTTCCTCTGGGAGCTCACGCGAAGTTGTTTCGTTGAGTGAGGTGCCACGAGGGAGCAAAATAATTTTTTTTAAAAAAAGGCCTTTCGGGGTGCTGCAGCAGCGGGGCGGCGTTTGGCCGCTCCGTCCTCTGCCGGTGCGCCGGCTGCCGCCAGCGCCGGCCCTCGGTCCAGGCGTTGCTGTTAGCAGAAGCAGCTGCTCCGTGTGTACGAGGGTTGGGGCCTGTAACTTCTTCTTTGAATTTTGACTTTAATTGCTTGTAAGCTGCGTGAGCGAGGGACCTCTCTGACACCCTCGGAGCTTCCTGCCGAAGCAGGCCCGGCCGCTGAGTGCGGTGTCACCCGAGGCGATGCCTCGCGTTTGTTTCGGCTCCTGTGGGGTTCCAGGATGGGTGACTGGGTAATTAACACATCACCAGTTCCCGACTGGTCACTTACCTCCTTCCTGGTCGTCTTTGTCGTTTCAGGCGAATGTTTTATTTCTGGTCTGTGACCCCTACGGAGCGCTGCTGAGAAGCTGCTGCACGCAGACCTTATGAGGAGAGTTCAAGTAAAATGCATTATGCACTGTTAATGTGGGGAAAGTGTTCTGGTTTTTTTTTTTCCCTTTGTAAACTTTTTTGTTTTAAGGGAGGGAATGGCCCTTGTGCGTTCTAGGGAGAAGGTTTAAGCTAAGCTAGAAAAGGCTTGGTATTATGGAGGACTCATGGTGTTATACCGGCCTCACTTCAATACTGGCTTTTTATTTTTGTGTAGAACAAACCACGATTTTACACTTTCAGAGTATCTGCATAAGGCTGTTAAGCATACATCTGACTTTACCTCACATACTCAATGTAGACTTAGTGGTTTTATTTTGAGCCTTTCTGAATAAAAAATAATAATTAAAAAAAAGCTGTAAAAGTAAGTTACTTCTGTTGGTTTTCCCTTCCTTAGTAGGTCTTCAAAGGTAGTGGTGGAGGGAAGGACATTTTATGATAACCAGGAGGGTAAGATTTTTCCAGCATTGGTTTTTTTTTTTTTTTTTTTTTTTTTTTTTTTTTTTTTCCATAGGGACATAAAGTTTGTGACCTAGAGCTCTGGATAAAATGGAAGGAAACCCATTCCTAGAGAATGGAAGTACAGGGTCTATCTAGTTCATTGGGGTGATGATCTCCTTTCTGGCTATCTCCCTCAGTGAGTTAGGCATCAGTACTCACATGCTCTTATGACTTCCTGAGCCACTTTCTACTTAAAATAAATGTGTGAAACTTTAAATGCTTGGGTGTGGATGGTTGAGATCCTACCACTGTCTGCTTGACAAAGGAATTGTGTGTGGAGAGAAGGGGTCTGGTGGCAATTCAAGTCTAGTCATTGATGAGAAGTAGGAATGAGCTGTGGGGGAAACTACTTTGCAGCCTTTGTGTTTTGGCTGGGTTTTTTTAAAAAAAAATCCAGGACATCGGTGTTGGTGGAATGGTGTTCTTTATCCTCTGGCTAATGACACTGGAGGAAGGTACTTTCAGGGTGTGATGTGTGTCCTTTTATAAAGCTCTGCTCTTGTGGGGAGGGAAGAACGTAGTGATGATGCCTGTCCTTAGAATATTTTCATGTTCAAAATTACAATGCCACTGAAAACAGCAGTTTTTAAAAATAGCTTCCCAAAAGTTTGGAAATACTTTTATAATAATGTTGAAAAACAACATGCAAGTAAGTTATGTGGTTGGCATTTTGCTTTATTTTTGTTGATGTCATTCATAGATGGACTTGCTAAAGGTGAAGCCTAGAACTAGATCAAAATCACTGAAAGTTGCTCTTCTGTGTCTGGTGTGTGCTCTATGATTTTTATTTAGTGTAAGTTGATCTAGTTAGCTTTCTTTGTAGCTTCTTTTGTGTTGAAGTGTCCCCAGGAAAGAAGACCAAATCAGGAGAAACCTTACTTGAGTCTTGAGTCTTATTCTTGTCTGTGGGCATAGGCTTTGCCTGACATTTAGTGCATTGTAGAATAATTAATCTTATGCTGTTTTCCTGTTTAAAGTCTCTTTCCTGTCCTCCCAACCCTCTTGGTGGGGGGAGGGGGGCGCGGGTGTGTGACAGAAAAGAAAGAAAGGAATTACTTGTTAGGAACGGTGTCTGTGCAAGAGCCTTCAACATACCTGACAGGACTGAAGGGGAGTATGTTCTGGGCTACCTTTTGCTAGCTTTAGGCCTTGCGGTACTTAATGAAAGGTTCATAAAAAGCCCTTGCTGTGAGCCCTAAAATGCTATCTAGTTGGGGCACTTTCTTTGGTATTGAAGATGTGACTTTTTGCTCTTAGATGTAGCAAGAAAATTGTTGTCATGATGTCTTATGAATTTGGTCATGTCTGGATGCAAATGTGTAGATAATCTGGATGAAGAAGTTTTTAGTTGTAGGCTAACTTCTAATGAATAACTGAGGAATATACTTTTTGATCCCTTATAGGTTGTTTGGTCTGAGGCTGACCTCCGATTTTCTTAGAGGGTAGTTACATTTAATTTATGAAGCTTTGGTTTGTGGCTACCAGTCAGCCATTACCTGTAAATTGATGTTTGGGGGAAAAAAAAAAAAAAGGGGTAGTGGGGGTGGAGATTTTTCTGCTGACAAACTCCTGCAATTAATTCTTACAGTCTTCTATGAAGTTTCCCATTGTGTATTAGGTGTGGTATAGTCTGAGTACTGCTGAGCATGAATAAATTAAACTCTTGTTCTAATCCCACTGTGTTAGATTAGAAATCTCATTGAGGTGGGGCGGGGGAGGGAAGTGGAGTTCACTGAGCTATTGTCAAAACTGTTTCCACAGATCCTCCCTTTATATCATTTTCTGCTTTTACAAAAAAAATTTCCACTTGGGTGGGGTATGGTGAAATATGTGGGTTTCAGACACCAGACAAAGGAGACATTCATGCCTCACCTGTGAATCAAGAATGTTTTTACTTGTGGGCTTTTTGTGTCATGCTGCTTTGCATTGTGGCTTCCTGGGTCAAAACTTCCTGGTGTTGGTAGAATGGACTTCTGTACTTTGGCATCTGTGGTGGGTTTCCAAGGCTCACGAGCTGCAATTCACAAAATCCATGAATGTGCTATGGTTCTCATGTTGCTTTAAGTTGAAGAACCTTAGATAAAGTAAATCAAACCCTCAAACAAGAATTTTCTTTACTTCAGAGTAAATGTTGCAGGCTGTCACTAAGGGGGAATTAAGAAATGGTCCTTTTCCAGGTGGCTTCTGATTGTATGTCCGAAGGATGGTCATGTGTCTTCGTCACTAGTATTGCACAGTCCTTAAAATCTGTGGCTTTTCTAGAGCTGTAGTGTTGGTAGCTTGCATGAGGGTGCTGAAGCAGCCTTCCAGCCCCTAGCACAGCTTGGGCAGGAACAGGATTCTTCTTCTTGACCCTTTGGCTCATGCTCAGTCAAAAGCATCTGATAAAGGAAAGGTTAAGAACAATGTCAGAGATGATCAGAGTGAAGCTTATCAAGGTTAGATATGTGTGGCTCTTAAAGTTTAATAGTTTGGGTGTTCCCCTGCCCCTAATCTAGCAATCAAAAAAAGAGAGGGGGGAAACTGAACAGTCTAGGTTCAGATGACTTCATTTTGAAAACAGTCACAATTTAATTAGTTAGACTTGAACGTCTTATATTTGATTTTTTTGCATTGTAAAGCTGCTTCTCTTTTTTTCTGGATGACTGAACAAAACCTGTTTTCACTATGGTCAGTGAGCTGAAGAATCTATTTTAGGCATGTTGCAGGTGAGGATTACGGCAAAGGATTTAACCTGCAGAAAATGGTGATCCTCAAATATTAACAAGATAAGGGATTGCAGTGTTTGCAGTTGAAACCACTGGCTTCAAAGGCTTTTGCTGACTTTCTTTACCAATCTGATGTAAATCTTAGAATTTAATCCCTTTGAGAGAGGAGAAGTATCATTCTGCTTGATTATTCACACTTGAATTCTGTTACCACTTATGCAGATAACTTTCGGCAAATGAAAATAAAATATGCTAAGCAAGATGAACGATATCTGAACCTAGGGCTGTTAGGATTTAAAAGTAAGTTTATTTTCCTTTCTGGTTCAAAGTGTGCCTCAGCCCCTGTTTGGAAGGGGGGACCGGCACTTGTTTTGCTTCAGTGTTTCCTGTCTCTCTTCCTTTTTGAGAGCAAAGCAATAGTGTTTTATCCCTTTCCTTGTAGTAAAGCTCATACATGATATGTCTAAGTGAATACATTTCTGTTCTTATCCAGAGTACCTGCTTACATGTGTTTCTTCTGAGAGCTGTTTCTGTGCCCTTGTCTTTAGAAGTCTGTGCAAAAGCTGAAAATTTTAGGACTGTCTTCATTCTTAATCTGAACCTGAATGTGAAAGGCAAGGGTGTAATAAACATAGGCCTTTGCTTCCTCTTGACCTTTGCAGTCAGTGTTGTTGAATGTTGTCCTGGTATTACAAAGGAGCTTCTCTCTGTTTTACACTCCCAGTCTAGAGAGCAGGCATTTATAACAAATTGATAAGGGTCTTCTGTGTGAAGACCTGTGCTGAAGCCCCCAAAGTAGTTGGGACTCTTCCTGTGGCACTAATAGGCTCAGGCACTTGCTGAGCTTGTGTGTGCATATGAGCTTTTGGCTTTTTTTATGGGTTGTTTTATTTTGGCTTTTTCATTCTGTTTCAGACAGGTTGCTAGTG